GTGTTGGGGGGAGGGGGGAGTACTTCAGGAAAACTGGATGCAAAGGACAATGTGCGTGGCTGCAAGTGAGTTGGGTTGGGAGGTTGTTCCCTCGCGCTGCCTCAATGTGGCATTGACTCGGACCTCGTTTCAATTGAAAGCACATATGGCCATTACCAGGCTGGCTGCACGCGTGTGTTGCGCCCCCCTACGTATGGACTGCTGAACCAAGCCCCGCTGTCACGCGCAACCAGCTCCGAGTGCGCAGCCACCTCCGAGTGACCGCCGCCTCCCCTTCCGCCTTCTGCCTGGATCTGGCCACTCTTAGTGCCAGGCCGGCAACTGCGAGAGCAGTTGCTCGGCCTCCTTTCCCCTGCATCTTTGCTATGATTCTCCACTGCGTGTAAGCGAGTGTCTGATTACTCATCTCACTCCTCCGCGCCGCTGCCCCCTCGAAAGGTTTCACCCCCCTGTTTGCGCCCGGCACCGTCGTCATCAACCCCCACCGCGCGGCCGCGCGCGTGGAGTGCCGCTTCGACGAAAACGTATGCTAAAGGAGTCGCCGCCCTCAAGACCCGCCTTGCTGGATGCTCTCCATTTGCTCTGGCAGTGTGTGTGCCTTGTCGACGCGATAGGATTCCCGCAATCCCTCAAAACGAAATCTAGCCAGATCAACTGCCAGATGCCATCTACTCTAGGAAAAACCCACTTTGATTTTGCTGCCAGGGCCCCTGGCCGCTGAGGGCCGGCGCGCCCCCTCAACAGAAACGATTTACCGGCGTCTTGCGCCGCCCTGGCGAGCGGGCCACCTCAATTGTTCCTCGCCCCCCGTTGCATGAACGCGAATCTCATCGTCAAGCCCCTCCTCCCAAAGCACCCAGCCGGTTGGGCCATCCTCCATCGCGCATCGTTTGTGATCCCACCCAATAACAGCCGGCGGCTGCATGACGCACCTCGACCGCATTCGCACGGTGCCGGCTCGGGTTTTTTCGAAGCAGTCCATCTCTCCGCAATAAACGACGAACCGCGCGTCGCCATGTGCATGCCAGCGGTCAAATAAAGCACAAGGGTTTGGAGATCCGGCGTGCGCCGCAGCGACTGGCTGTCGCCCTGCTACCCTGCCGCCCAGGGTAATCCTGCACGCCACCCTCAAGGACCGTTCGCCAGTTTTTCGTATGTCAATGTACTGGTAACAAAAGGTCACCACGCGTACTCAATCAAAATGAGCATGTTGACAGCTGTGTGCCCCAGCGAACCGCCACAGCGCACTCTAAACACGCCTCGGGCACGCCGTCAAGCCGGCTGTACAGCAGCCCGAAGCTGCTGCAGGTCGCGGGGCCATCTCAGCTTCCCGGCCCCGCTGGCGCGGCCGCGCTTGTGCGGTTGCCTGACGGCGAAGGGTGGTCGAGGCGTGGAGCTGCAACTGTCAAGCTTCTGATATGTGAATAAATGATGCGGAGCCGGCTGCGTTTACACAGCGCAGGGGGGGGGGGAGGGGGGGTCACGAAGCCCGAGAGGTGACAAAACAGCACAGGGCCCATGGGGCCGACCAGCAGCCTGGCTGCAGCAATGGGGAAATGAAATGGCCGCCACCAACGCGGCGGCTGTGCGGACGCCGCTGGGCTGCGGGATGTGAGAGGGCACGAGGGTAATGTTTGCGGCACAGGCCAGCCATCCTGAGGGGTCACAGGTGAGACAGCTCCAGGGTCAAAGAAGGTGGTTGGAGTCAACAAAGTCAAAGTCAGTCACAGTGTCTCACAACGAACGGTAAAGGAAAACAACAACTCCACACGTTTGGTGTCAGGGCCCAGATCAAGGGAGATCACTCGGACACGATCTCTTTGATCGTGTCGGCGATGGCGAGCGGCAGCCGGTTGCCGTGGCCCACGCCGCCGCACGACTTGATTTCTGCAGGCGGTTGGAGGGGGCAGAAAGGAGCTGGCGTGGATGCGCTGGGTTTAGTAAATGACCCTCGGGGGTGCATGCATGTGCAGCTGATAATGAAAGGCTGCTTTGTTGGCAAACAGTGGGTTCAGCAGGGCTATGCAAAGAGACAATCACAATCACACGCGCCATTCAATACTGATGTCAGCGGCGCTGCTTCCCGCCGCCCGTCAGGCGCAGCCGCCCCAGCCGCCACTCACCCAAGCACGCGATCTCGCCCGGCGCGCGCTTGAAAAAGTGGTGGGACAGCCAGTATGCGCTGAGCTTGGGGTAGCGCCGCAGGCCGCGGGACCGGCGGTCAACGTGCACAATGCCAAAGCGCGGCCGGAAGCCCTGCGGGGCAAGGGATGCAGGGAGAGAGGCTCGGCGAGTGCCACGGCGGCTTGCAGCAGCCGATGAAGGGGACGCGGCCAGGGGGGCGATGTGCCGGTGTGCTGGGCGTTTGAAAGGTCCACACGCTGCTGAGGTCCGGTGCAATAGTGCGCTCATGAACCCTGCGACCGCAGGTTGCCTCAACTCAGTCAGGTTGACCCGGAGAACGCAGCAACCGTCCTCAGAAAGCCAGACTGAGCCAGTCGCCGCGCGCCCTTGGCCCCGCGCCTCCCCCTGTCCCGACCCCCCTGGCAGCGCAGCCACGCATCTCCAACCCCAACGCGAGATCATGAGGCCACCGGTTCACCTCGTTCCACTCAAAGTTGTCCACCAGGGACCAGGCAAAGTAGGCCGACAGGTTGACCGAGTCGTCCGCCACCGCGCGGCACACGCCGTCCAGGTACCCCCTGCGGCGAGAGTGCGGCAAAAGATGGGACCGAGGCCGAGGTGGGGTGGGGTTGTGGGGGCGGCCTGTGCGCGCTGTGGCGGTTCCCGAGCTCATATTGCTGTTGTGTTTCAGTCAGCGGGAGCTGCGTGGTGGCAGGAAGGGCCACAGGCCCCTGCATGCGTCTGGCATGGCTCAATCATGCCAGTCCCGGTTCAGCTTGCAGTGCTCATCAGCCTGGGTGTCCAACATCAATCCATTCACACTGCCTATACCTGGGCTTTCCACGTCCCCTAGCACCCGCGCCACTCCTTTCCGCACACCCTACGGCTTGCAGCCGCCTCTGAACCATGGCACGCGTCCCGCCCCCTCACTGACACTAATTCAGCACCAACAACTGCACACGCCATGGCCCACGTCCCGGCCCCTTATCTGCATCACTCCGACCCCCACAACCGCACACATCATAATACACGCCCCGCCCCCTCACTTGCATCACCCCAGCCCCACAGACGCACGCGCCACGGCCCACACACACTGCGCCCCTTCATTTCCGGCGCTCCCACCCCCCACACAAGCACACCGTACCGTGTCGCATACGCCACCGCGCACCCTCAACCCCCTCACTTGAAGTACTCCAGCCGGTACGTGTCCTTCAGTGTCTCCCCCAGGCTCTTCCCCGCCTCCCCCGGCGCCGCCACCCCGTTCTCCGTCACCCATATCTCCGGCCGGCTGTAGCGCCGGCTGACCCACGCCAGCATCTTGCGCATCGCCCAGGGGGTGGAGAAGAGCCAGAACACGTCGCTGGCCTCCCCTGGGGGGTTGCCCTGGGAGTCGGCCAGCAGCTCCTCGTACAACTGCCAGCGGGAGGTTTCGGGAGTCGTTCAGGTTGTCGGCTTTTGCCAAAAGTCGCGGCGAGAGGCATGAGCAGCATGCACGAAGGCAGCTGCAGCCCACCAGCGTGCACGAAGCTTCCCTCCCAGGGAAGCCTGTTTGTGGGTGGGGGGGCAGATGATGCGGGAGCGCCCGCGCACCTGAGCCTTGGGGGCCCCCGCCGCCGGCGCGCGCACAAAGTGTGCCGTGTAGAAGTTGAGGCTGAAGAAGTCGACGCTGCCCATTATCATGGCCCTCTGCTCCGCCGTGAACTTGGGCAGGTTGCGCTGGGTGTCGCGCATCAGCTGGGGGTAGTCGCCTGGTGGGCGGCGGCACAGGGTGGATGGTGGGAGAAGGGGCCACGGCATGCTCGAGTTGAGAAGGGGGGGGGACAGGGCGGCCGGTGCGGCGGTGGTGGCGCTCGCAGCGCGGACACGATAGCACTGAGCCGAGAGTTGGGATCGATGCGCCCCGAAGTGCAGGCGTGCAGCCAGGGCGCCCCGCGGGCCCCAGAAGACGTGGCTGCAGAAGCGAGCGACTGCAAGATGCTGCAAAACCTATCTTATCCTATCCTATCCTATCCTATCCCCACCTGTGAATATAGGGTCCGCAATCCAGCCTATTTGGAACTGGACGTAGGCCTCAGCCGCCTGGGCGTCTGCAGGGTGTGCGCAGGAGTGTTGGGGAGCAGAGAGAGAGAGAGAGAGAGAGTGTGTGTGTGTGTGTTGGGTAATTGCTTTCCACGGGTTCATTTCTTTGTGCACGTTGTGTGTAAACGTGCGTGCGTGTGTTTGCGTGTGCCCATACATGTGTGCATGAGCGGATGCAGGTGTGGGCGCACGTGCACGTGTGTGTGACCCATAATAATTTCCACGTTCGCGGATGGGCCAATGGCAAGGGCTCCGCGAAGCCTGGGCACCAGCCCAAGACGGCTGCAGCTGCAGCAGCGCAGGCGCCCCCCACCCTGCACCAGCCGCAGCGCCGACCTGCTTCTGAGTTTTCAGAGGCGGGCCGCCCCCAGTGGCCGGATATGGACAGGCTGATCCGCCCCTGCACGCGGCGCATATTGTTGGGCACAATGGCTGTGGGACGGCGAATTCGGGGCCGGCGACGAGGCGGGGCTGGGCCAGACTCCCGACCAACACAGGCGGTGCCCCCTGCTAGCCGTCAGACCCCGCCTGTAACGACCCCGGCCACACAATGTCTCCGGCAAAGTGTCAGTCCCCGATTAGCTGACCGACCGCCTTCACCTGCTGCTGCTTCTGGTACTTTCCACGGTACAGCTGCACCGTCCTGCCGTGCGCCAGCAGCAGGTGGTGGCCACACTTGTACTGCCCCGTGGTGCCGGCCTCCACGCCGGGCGCGAACACGCCGATGCCGTAGCCCAGCTGGCAGATGGACATCGGCTCGTTGAACTGCGTGGCGGCGGGGTGTCGAAACGTCATCGGGTGGGCGGGGAGGGCCTGGAGTGGGGTGCAGTACGCGCAGGTGATCCTGCTGCGCGTCATCGAGCAATGCATTCAATTGGCGTCAAAGGCAGGGTCTGGCATGGGGGAAGGGGGGTCGAGGGGCGAGTGCGAGCTGGGTCCGCCTCACAGGAAAACCCGGCAAGCTGCAGCGTTGGCGTCACAAAGTGCAGACCCCTGCATCCATTTCGAGGCGCAGGAATTGCAGGCCCCAGTTCAAACACAGACACAGACACACACACACACACATACGCACACACACACACACACACACACACACAAACACTCTTTTCCACACGCTCCAATCAACCTAGAACAAATCGCAAACTTTCCCAAAGACACACCTTCAAACATCCACACATGAACTCGCTCTTCACACACACATGCGGGCACGCACACACGCACACTCGTCCTGACACACATACATCCATGCAAAAGTCTACACACACGCGCGTGCTCACACACACACACACCATATTACCCGGCCCCGTCTCACCGTGATCCAGTGCCGCACCAGGTGCCCCAGCTCCCTGAAAACAGTGTCTGCGTAGTAAACGTAGTCCTCTGCGATCTGGGGGTCCAGGAAGCCACCATACATGTCCTGCCGCATAGAGTGGTGGTGGTGGTGGTGGGTGCGGGACGGGCTGAGGCGATGGGTCGCGGATGACAGGTGGGGGGAATGGTGGGGTGCACGGTGGGGTGGGCAAGAGGAGGGGCACGTGCACGGGGACTGGAGCGCTGGCGGGGCGACGACGGCCTCAACGGGGGGCCCGTCCACCTCGCACAAAGGCGCCGGCAACATACACAAGCTGCGCCGGCGGGCTGGGCGCGACGCCGCGGCGGGCGACGCGGAACGCTGGCAGGCCCCTCCGCCCGGCCCCGACCTGCAGCGACTGTGGCAGGTCCCAGTGGAAGAGCGTCACCACCGGCGTGATGCCAGCCGCGCGCAGGTCCCGCAGCAGCGCGCTGTAGAACCTCACGCCGCTGCGGCTGACGTGGGTGCCGCGGCCGCCGTCGGGCAGGATGCGGGGCCAAGAGATGGAGAGCCTTTGGGAGGGGGTGGGGGCGAGGGTGCGGGACGAAGGCGGGGGGGGACATGGCTGATGCGGATGTGAGGGCGGGGAGGGCGCCCCCCCTCATGGGGGAGAAGGGCAGGCGTGTGTGTGTGTGTGTGTGTGTGTGTGTGTGTGTGTGTTGTGGGCAGCGGCTGCCACAGGTAGGCAGTGTGCTTGCCGAACACGCAGCCACATGTCCATACCGCACAATCGAGCACACGCATGCAAACGCGCATGCACGTGTGTGCACACACACCCACACTCACACACTCGCACGACAACACCAAACACACACAACAATACATCCATTCCACACTCACACATGCACCCAGCCACCCACAAACACGCACCTGTAATGCTTTATACCCAGTGCCGCCATTATGCGGATGTCGTCACGATACCTGAATATCACAGCGCACAATAGGGAGCCAAGGCACGCTGCATGAGCAGAACAGCACGCACTCAGCAATCCAGCGCCACCTGTCGGTGCTGCCAACAGGCTTCCCACGGGCGGCTGCCACCCACCAACCCTCCTGCCTGCAGCGCGCATCACACCGGGCCACCCCCGTAACTCCAACAGGCCTGCTGCACACTGGCACGCCGTCCGTCCCGCCACGCGCGCTGCTGTCGTTACCCGCTGCTGCCGGACTGATGGCTTCCGCGATGATCAGCAGTCAACATCAGATCCATGACGTGCACAACGCCCCAGATCGCCACGCACCGATGGTAGTGATCCACCGCCACGTCGCCTGTGTCCCCGCCCTGGATCTTGCCAGGCGTGTGCGCCCAGGTGTCCCAGATGGACGGCGTCTTCCCCCCCTCGTCCCACGCGCCCTCGATCTGGCAGGTGGGTTTGTCAAAGGGTGGCACAACGCGGGCCGCGTCAGCGGATGCCACTGCCGCCTCCTCCTCTGCTGCTGCTGCTGCTGCTGCTGCTGCTGCTGCTGCTGCTGCTGCTGCTGCTGCTGCTGCTGCTGCAAGGCCAGCATCTTGCGCGGCCGGCGCTGCCCCTGCCCCCCCCCAGTGGGCTGCAGGAAGGCGCGACCTTTGGGCAGGAACCCGCCTCGCAGCCTGGCGTGGTTGCTGCCAATGTCGACTGTTACAGCTACCTGCTGATTGCAATCCGCTCATGCGCCTGGCGCAGGGCTTGGCAGGCAGCTGCCTCCCACGCAAGGATGCGCGCACCGTGCGAACGGCCGCTGCCGCTCGCAGCCCGATCTCACGGGCAACCCGGCCACCCCCACAGGGACACGACACTCCCGAGCCGGGCCCGGAGGCCCCTGCAGCCGCTGGCGGCCTCGGTGGCGGCGCCCAGGCACCCCGCACCCCGCACCCGCCCCCGCCCCCGCCCCTGCACCTGGTACGCCGAGGTGCCGACGCCCCATGCGATGCGCTCCCGCAGGTCTGCGGTGCACGCGCCAGGCGCGTCCGGCAGGGCCTTCACTAGCCGCGGGTCCATCTGCGGAGCGGCAACAGCCGCGGCAATTCCGCTGAGCCGAGAGAGGGAGGCTGGCCTGTGCTTGCGGGCGAGAGGTGGCCGGCCGCAGCGCGCCATGCGAGCAGGGGACGGAACAACTGCTTTCAACCGACTTCATAGGGGAGGCAGGGGGCCGTTCTAGTGGCCGTGCGAACGCGGGCATGGGTCGTGTCAGGTTGGTTGCATGCACGGAAGCCGCTCACGTCTGCAAAGAGCCAGTCGGACGAGAGCAGTAGCAGCAGCGCGCTGGCCAGCAGCAGTGCTGCACCCGCCGCTCCGACGGTCCAACGCGCGCAGGCGCTCTGCGGCAGCCATCTGGAAGGGTTTCGGTGACGTTTGCCGCTGCCATCCGACGCGGTTGTCATCAACAAGTCCGCGCCAGGGGAGGAAATGCGGGCGTTTGCTTTCGCGGGCCCAGAGCGCCCCCCGGCGCGGGCCCGGATAGCTGTTAGCAGAGACAGTTTTGCAGTATCTTTGCAGTTGCTTGATTTTGGTTGACGCGGCCCAGTGCCGGGCTAGGGAAGCAGCCAGCAGTTCAAATCGAACACGCCTGTCATGATTTTTACACTGTATCCTAATAAGGTCGATCACCCGTGAGTTAAGGCTCGATCGGTGCATTTGGGCCGTGCTGCTGTCACCCAGTCACTCTGACACTTCGTCTCTCCTGAGCGCGTGCGAGCATTGCATGCCGTCTCTTGATTTGTGTCAAGTCGATGTGACAACAGATCGTCCTTCACAGCTTTGAGAAACCTGCCGCGCTGTCCGACCGCTGCTGACATCACCTCTGTACACATCCCCATCCGCCATCAAACCAGGCCTCACGGCAGCCGTCTCTCCTCCATGGCGCTGCAGCGTTGTACCTCACGGATGCTTCAGCCCCTCTTAGCCTCATCGGCACCAGCAGTAGCAGCAGGATGCCCCTTGCTCGCCGCCGGCTCCGGGCCCCGCGCGCGCTGCACCACTTCGTCCGCTCGGCGCAATGCCAACGCAACCTCAACGAGCAACACCGACATCCAAAGGCGCGCAGATGCAATTATATGTGTGCTATAAAGCGCGCTCCTCATGCAGCAGACAGCGCATGTCTGCACCCCTGCATGACCTGCCTTCTGCAGGTGTGTCGTGCTCACCGCAACCTGCACGGTTGTCACCGCAACCAACCTGCACTTCCGGCCGGAGCCACTGCGGATATCCACAGCGCTCCCCTTGCACCCGCCTCATTACCCCCAGCCAGCACCCGCGACCCGTTACGAACGACCCCTATGAGCACACCCCCGGCGCTGGCGTGCTGCCCGCCGGCCTGGCTGAGGTGGCAGACCGCCTGGAGGGCGCGTCCAAGGAGGACATCGTCGCCGAGGCGCTGCGCATGACGCCGCACAGCCCCCACATCGACACCACGATTGGAAACCTCATGGTGATGCGCGCCCTGAGGCGGGCGGAGAAGCGGTCAGGGCGAAACCTGTCTGATTACCAGCAGCAGGCGCTCTGAACTGCGGGCCTTGACCTGATGTTAGAGTTTTGGAGAGGAGCAGCCAGCCTTCCTTGAGGGGACAGAAAAGTGACGGGCAGCAGCCCGCGTTTGGTACTGCGTGCATGCTGCAAACTAATGCCAAGGGCATTGCGCTGTACAACTGTGTTTGCGCCTGGAGGCCATGGTATGCACCATGCAGTAGGTTTTGCCTGCCACGGGTGCTGTTTGAGACATAGTATCCCTGATAGTAGCTTTCTATGTAGGTTGTCACTTTTTGCGGCTGCTCAGCGTGGCAGGTTTTGGAAATTGAGGAGGGAGTATCGTACCTAGGTCTGTCGGCACCCTACCCTCATCAAGTCTAGGGACGTGTTGGCGAGGTGCATGTGCTGATGTAAAAGAAGCACGCAATGAAGCAGCGTAAACAGCGACAGCAGCAGATATGCTTGGCTTTGCACCAAAGGGCGTCGCCACCGGCTCACCGTTCCCGCGCGCACCGCACACGAACACGCTGGACTGTGCGTCGCAACGGTCGCCGAGAATCACCTTCACAAGGCGTCAGCTCTAGCCCAGTCACCGCGCGAAAAGGTTTTCTAATATCCAATTCCCTTCTCTCAAGCCAGGGTGCAACAACGCAGGCAAAGGGTACACCCTGAGCGAACGTGCCTGGGCACGTATTCGACAATCACGGTTTGGTTTCGGACTGAATTTCTAACGATATCACGAACCATTAATTGTGAGTTTACCTCATTCTATCCTGAAAACAAGCCCTCACAACCTGCTTACCCGCCCGGCCCGTCAACAGAAAATGATGGAGCATGCCCGCGATGGCTCTTTGCAGGCCGCAAGGATGCTTAAGCTACAGCAGCTCTTCGGAAGAGCCATGGAGGCGCTAGAGCAGACCCTGCCGATGGCGATCGCCTCCGGCACGCTGACGTCCGACGTGGCGTGCCGCCTGCACAGCGTGGACCTCGGTGAGCCCGGGCATTGAGCCTTTGAGCCCACCCCTCCGATCGACTGCGCTGCACGATGCGTGACAGATGCGCCGCACCACTGATAATGTCGTCGGCGACAGCGGCCGCACGGGCGCCAACCAGACACGTTTGTTCTTCTGACGCCATCGCGCGAGGTCGCTGGGCTTCCCACTCCTATTCCTGCTCCCCTCGCCAAACCATTCATCCTGAACCCCACCCTGGAATTTCCTCACAACCATGCCCCTGTCTGTACAGACGAACTGTTCCGCATGTGGCAGCTGATGAAAGCGACAGAGTCAAGCGGTGCGCACCAGCAGCGGATGCGCGTGCGCCTGCAGCAGGCCCGGCCGCCGCCGCCGACCCAACACGCAGACTCGGCCGCGACCGCAGCCACGGACTCAATTATGGCCGAGCCCCCAGTGGCGCCGCATGTGCTGAACGCCGTCCAGCTACAGCAGCAAGACGAACAGCAGCAGGAGCAGCAGCAGCAGCAGGAAGAGGAGGTGCAGGCGCCGCTGCAGGCGCCGCTGCAGGCGCAGCTCGCCGCCGCCGCCGCGGCGCCCCACTCGCCCAGGGCCCCCGGCCATGCCGCCCCATCACCCAAGCGGGCGGCGGGCTGCCGAGGCGCCAGCTCGGCGCGGAAGCGCCCGCGCGCGGGCGACGCGATGAGCAGCCCAGTGCAGGCGGCAGGAGCACTGCAGGCAGTGGCGGCAGCCTGGCCGAGCGGGGGGCAGTGAGCAAGAAAAGTAGTGCGGCAGGCAGCGCAAAGTGGCTCGCATGCGCCTGCTGGCGCATGCAGCTTCTGCCCCATGCGAGACCCCATGACAGGCCCCATGCAAGCCCTCATGTGAGGCCCCATGCGAAGGGCCTATGTGAGGGCCCACGCATGCAAGACCCCCATGAAAGCGACTGTGTTATGCGGCCGACCTCCTCTCCTTTGGTGGTCCATTAAGGCCGCTGCCGCGCCGCTTGGCCGCGCTCCAATCCCTGTATGCCTGCGCCGCTGCCCTTCGGCCGCATGCACCGCATTCTCGGCCCGCACCCCGGAGGAACATTCCCCAGCCGCGCCGGGCGCCCGCGGCCCTCCTGAGATTGAACCGCTCGTGTGTGCCTGTCTGCATGCTAATCTACACACAATATCCAACGCCATGATATGGCACGCAGAGTTTTCGCCTTACCTTTGAGCATCCCGCCCCTCCCACGCACGCGCGTGACGTGGGAGTGTGTGCGCCCCAACCCCGCGTGCTCGGCCTAGCCTACTTCGTCCCTGACCAACCACAGACCGCTGTGCGCCATCCGGCTGCCGCATCGAGCGTGTCGGAAGAGAGAGAGCGGGCAAGCAACCCACATTCCCCACACCTCCATGCAAGCTCCATCCTGGGCGTGTTGGCGGCGCCCTGGCAGTACCTGCTGCCGCTCAGGGTGACAGGCGCTGCCGGGGCCGTATCGAAGCGCAGACCAACGCCTGCTCTCAGTCGCCTGCCGTTTACCCTGGTTGGCTGCGGCCCTGTCGCGCGGTGCCTCCTCCTCTGCCTAGGGCGCCCAGGGCTGTCCGCGGTGCGCTGGCACGGCCCTGCGCGTTCCGCGCACGTGCGTGTATGACAACACCGGCATCAAATCCGCCCTGTGCACGCGCACGCATGCCTCGCAGCGTCGCAGTCAAGCGGCCGCCGCTTTGATGGCACAGGAAGGGGGGGCCGCTGCTCAGCGTGCGACGGCGCCTTGCGGCCTGCGCTGACGCCGGCCACTACGACGCATGCTGGCCCTGCATCACGTCCACGCAGGCAGCGTCACCAGTTTTGCCAGCCGTGCCAGCGCCAGCTGCTTGCTTCACGGGGCCCTGGTGGCCTGCGGCCCTCATCGAGGGTTCCAGAGCGCCGTGGGATTGCTTGCAAAGCGAGCCTTTGGCATCCCCCCCTTGCCCAGCGCACACACGGCACATACCCGCAACTTTTTTGACCAGCAAAACACTGTTTCTGTGCAGCGCACGCTACAGCGCTTCGAGCCTAGAGCCGCGCCGCGAATTCTCAAAGCACCCTGCGTGCAGCCTGTGAAAGGCGAATCAGCGGGAGGCAGGCAAACATTCTGCCCACGCTCTCCTCTGGTGCACGCAGCGCCTTACCTCCGCCCCCAAACCCCACGTTCCGCGCGTCCGCCCGCCGCTACCCCGCGCCCCGCCCCGCTTCTTGCCCACCGATTTTCGGTGACTCACAGCGCAGCCTCCGGCCCCTCTCCTCCTCGTGTGTACATCAAGCACCGCCAGCACCGCCACTGCTGCACCCCGGTCTGTGATGGCAGCATGCATACCTGCTGGGTGCAATACTCCCGCCCGCCCGCTTCCTCCACTGCTCCCTCGGTTGACGAGCCTATGCACGGCTAGGGCCTCCCGCCGCCAATTCGCGGGGGCGCAAGCCGGCAGCCCCCGCCACAAGTAGAGCCTCTTGGGCCGCGAGGCGCTTGCCGATCAGACCTGCTGTAAAACCCCCCCTGAAAACATCGACATTGTGGCACAGGAAGGGGGGTGGCCGCCAATGTGCACGACAGACCGTTGAGCGATCGCACTGCCTCCGCGTCTGCTGGGAAACTGCACGCGAGGGGCAAGCAGGGGGGCTTGGCAGGTGCCAGGGCATGCCAGCCTGAACGCCACGGTTGCACGAGGGACCGGCGGGAAGCTGAGGCGACGCCATGCGACGGTGGAATGCAGCAAGAAGGGGAATGGTCAACAGATGTCGGGTGCATGGCGCGCTCTCCCGCGGCCTGGGCGGCCGTGCCGCCAGCCCAGGGAGTGGCACATGTGCGCGATGGGATCTGCGTGCGTGCCTGCTCTGTCTTTTTTTGCATGTGCCTGCTGGCCCGGGTGAGGGTGTCGCGGCCGCGCCTGTGCCTTGGCGCAGGGACCACACTGGCTTGCTTTCAGGTGGTATGTGACCGGCAGCCTGCCCGCACTGGTACGGGCGCCGCCTCTTGCCCGGACTAGTCCGGCCCCTTCTCACCCCACCTGCACCCGGGCTTCCACGCTGCAGCAGGCACTCCAAGGGCGCCTCAGTCACTCGAGCGCCTTGCCAGAGTCACCTGCGTGCACCCCCTGGGTTCCGATTTTTACACGGCTACTTGCTTGCGAATCACTGAGACGCTGGTGCAGGAGGGGGGCTGTAACGCGTGTGTTGTTTACGGCACAGTTGTGTGAGGCACGAAAGTGCGTGCGCAGCAGCAGCAACTCAAACGGAGGGAGGGGCGGCTGCACCCACGCGCGTGGCGCCAGGCGCGGCGGGCCCCCGAAAAGCAATCGTCCTGCTGCCATGGCTTGTCACTCTGCGTATAGCGCATAAACTTGAATACACACAAGACTGGGCGCGGCTTGACGCGCGCCTCGTCCGCGTGGCTGCACATGTGATGGATGTCTGCATGTCCCCAGGGGCTGCGCAGCAAACGGCGGCCGCGACGCCCCCCTCGACGCGGCAGCCGCGAGAGGGGGCCGGGGCGCAAAGACACAGAACAATCGCCGGCACGCAGAGCCCGGGCGCCGCGGGCGGAGCCCGTGCGGCCGCTCAAGCATCGGGCCGGGCCAGGCACGGCCGACCGTGATACTTCCGCCGACCCAAAAAAAGGCCTGCGCCCTAGCTTAGCGGACCCCAGGCGGCCGCGCGGCCGGGGCGCGCATGCCCCGGTTGGCGCGGTGCGGTGCGGGACGCATCCTCATCGAGCGAATCACCGGGTGGCCGCGGGCTGGGCCTTGGGCTTGTCGGGCATGCCGGTCATGAGGTACGATGAGTCATCGCGGTAGTCTGTGTTTGAAGAGTGCCGGGAAGACGGGGGCGGGGGCGTCGTGGCGTCAGCAAGCGGGATTTGTGTGTGTGTCATATGTGTGTGTGTGTGTGTGTGTGTGTGTGTGTGTGTGTGTGTGTGTGTGTGTGTGTGTGTGTGTGTTGGAATGCGACCTCGGAGTCGCGGTGGGGCGCAGCAGCACCGTGGGGTCTGCTTTCCCCCGTGCGGGGCGCCGCGGCCCCGGTGGCCGCCGCGGCGCGACACCCGACCCCCAGGCCCTTGGACGACGCACGCTGCAGTACCCCGAATATATATATATATATATATGTGTACGGTACATAAAAACATATATATAAAATAAAAAAAAGTAAAAAAAGACCAATTCGAGGCATGCATCAAAGCTGCTGCTGGCACATGCACCCCTGGCGTTCAGACTCGATCCTGCCCGCTCACACACGTCACACGCGGCTCCCTCACGCTCCAAAGGCTTTCGACCCCCACTCCTTCCGCAGCACTTCTCGGCCGCAGTCAGGCCCTCCTCACATCCGCCTTCCCCCACAACACCCCCCCTCACTCTCCCCCAAAGGGGCATGGCCCCCCCCATTCACCTGGGAAGTACTCCTGGAGGGGCACCTGCTCCAGGGGGCCCGCGGCCATGGCGGCC